CAGGGCGCCCCCTCAGTCGCCCCGAGGGGCCAGCGCCGCGGGTCTCCCGGCGCGGTCCCAGCGCCTCGCGTAACGGTGTGTTTTCCCCCGCCCTTGCACCCCCGCAGCAGTACAGTCGCCTCAATTCCTCCAGCCAGACCAACAGCCTCAAGGATCTGCTGCAGAGCAAGATCGATGACCTGGAGAGGCAGGTGCTGTCTCGGGTGAACACCCTGGAGGAGGGCAAGGGGGGCCCCAGGAACGACACCGAGGAGAGGGTCAAGATCGAGAGCGCCCTGACTTCCCTGCACCAGCGGATCAGCGAGCTCGAGAAAGGTAATGGGGCTGGGGGGTTCCGCGCCTCCCGCCTGCTGCCGGCGGGGCTCTGCCTTGGGCTCTGGCTCCCTCCACAGCCCGGTCCCGGGTCCTGCGCGTGGAAGCCTCGAGCTCCCCGACCCCTGCAGCCCCTCCCCTCCCCTTCGTCTCCCCCCGGGGTCTGGGCTTCTAGCCGCTGTTCCGGGCAGGGTTGGGTGCCCTGGGCTCGGGACATCTCTGGGACAGGGAAGCAGAGGAAGGGATTGCATGGGGGCCCCTCCCCCATCACGACACGCGCGCACACACACACACACTCTCTCTCTCTCTCTCTCTCTCTCTCTCTCTCTCTCTCTCGCTGGATTTTTCAAGTCTGATTTGTTTAATCTTCAGTAACTTTGCACACTAGCTGTCACCAGCCCAAATCTTCCCTGGTTAAGAAAGCCTCTCTCTAGCTAGTCCCTATCCCCAAGCAAACAGCTGGGTGCAGGCTGGGGCTGCCTCCTCAGGGTCCCCGTAGGACCTGGACTGTTGATCTGATTTCTTCCCAGCTCCCCAGGGCCCCGGTGTCCTCTCAGGATCTCTGCCCTCCCCACCTCCGCCCTGAGCCCCCACCCTGAGGTTTTCTCTCCTGAGTGACCCAAGCCTTGGCTTCTTTCGAACCCCCGAGGTTTCCTGGTGGCCAACTTAGCGGCCAGGCTCTCCGGCTCTTGCCCAGGGCGCATGGATGAGCTCCGGCAGCTCTGCCTTGAAGTCGCAGAAATCAAACGAGGTTGTAAGGTGGGGGGGCAGCCGGTGCGGAGCAGGGCCACGTGACCCTGCTCAGACCGCAAAATGTGCCGGACAGATTTAAACAGTGCCATCTTAAGGCGTGTTATGTAACTGAAAAACAGATCAGGGGAAGGAGACACATGAGGAGGGGAGCGGGGAAGGAGGGGAGATGGGGGAATGAACAACACCCTGGAGAGAGGCCAGGAGTTGGATCTCCCCCCACCCTCTGCTGCAGGAGGGGGGGGTGAAGGGGGTACTGCACTGCTCTGCTCCCCAGCACTTGGCCTTGTGTGTGTGTGTGTTGCTGCCCCAGCAGGGTACCTTCTAGAAATAATTCTTGGCCCGGGGAACTGGTTTTTTCCTGGGCTCCCTGGCAGGACCCTGGGTACACACCCAGGAGCTGGCTAGGGAGTCTGAGTTCCTGGGTTCTGGGCCTGGCACCAGTGCCCGCTGCTGGACTGGAATGTTTTGCCTGGAGTCAGCTGCCACCATGCCCAGGGTTAGCCTGTGGGGCGGGGGGTGGCGGAGGGGTTAGGTGTTCACGTTGGCTGGCAGAGGGGAAGCTGGTGACCGGGCATAAGGGGAAGCCTACCAGGCCAGGAGCCTGAGTTTTAAGGAAGCTCACCTGAGAATGTGGCATCATCCTCAAAGCAGTCACCTTGGGGAGCCCTGGGTCCAGGAGTGTTTTCCTGCTCCCTGCTGTCCTGCCCTCTAAGCGGGGCTCTAAGCAGAGTCCTTGGAAGAGCCCTGAGTGGGGAGAGGACAACTCTGGCAACAGTTCCAGTGCTCTAGAGGAGTCAGTGGGTCAGATGAGTGATCCGAGGCTGCAGCTTGTTCTCGCCTCCAGGGAAGTGTGGCAGGCACCAGGGTCCTGTTGTCTCCAGCGGGAATCTAGAATGAGCAATCCCAGAATCAGGCCGGCCCCCGAGGGGGCTTCTCTGAGGGGAGCTAGCCTGGTTCCTCCTTCCTTTGTAGCCATACATTCTGCGTCAGTTGTCAGAGTGTACACTGACTTGACGACTGTCCCCATTCCCTACCCACGCCCACCACGCAGCTCAGGTGCAGATGCTCACAGTCCACCATGTGCTGAACCTCCACCCCCACCTCCCCAGGGACAGCACCATGTGGGAGTGAGAGCCCGGCCAGACCCAAGTACAGAGACCTTGGGTCAGCTCTTTCACAGCTCTTTCCCTGGCTGGCCCTGTGCCCTGAGCAAAGTACTTGACCTGGGAACCCACCCCTTCTGCGTCTACAGAACAGAGGCTGGAACCTGCTGGTCTGTGTCTGCATCACAGGGCTTGGTGGACACCAAACATGACTCAGACACCCATAAGCACTCCGTCGAGGTGCAGATGTCAGGACTGTGTCCTGTCCTCCACAGGTCAGAAAGACAACCGCCCTGGAGACAAGTTCCAACTCACGTTCCCACTGCGGACCAACTACATGTATGCCAAGGTGAAGAAGAGCCTGCCTGAGATGTATGCCTTCACCGTTTGCATGTGGCTCAAGTCTAGTGCGGCGCCGGGTGTGGGCACACCCTTCTCCTATGCCGTGCCTGGCCAGGCCAATGAACTGGTCCTTATCGAGTGGGGCAACAACCCCATGGAGATCCTCATCAATGACAAGGTAGAACCCCCACCCCACCCCACTCAGGTTTGCAGGACAGCAGGGTGAGGTCCCTGGGGCCCCAGGTCATGCTGTGTGCTGGGTGGGGCTCTGGTGGGCCCCGGGTGCTGCGGGGGCCCCAGGAAAAGGTTTGTCAGGTGGGCCTGCAGGAGGAGTGTGAAGACCAGGAGATTTGGGAGGGGTACCCCCATCCGTACTCAGAGAAAGGGGCAACCGGACCTTTCCTGACAGAGGCCTCCTGGGATGGGGGTGGGAGATGGCAGAGAGCCAGCCATGGGGCCTCTCTGGACCATCCTACCTGTGTGATTCTGACTCCTCCTCTACCAGCTGGCCTCAGAACAGGCTTTGATCCTCCGTAGCTGGAACCTCAAAGGTGCTCTAGGGTGGTAAAAGTGCCCCAGAGATTTTTCCTGAATTGAAGTCTCTCCCACTTAGTCCCCCAACTCTTGGGAGGAGGCCAGGTCTACACGACCTCTTGGGAGCAGGTACCATGGGGCAGCCCTTTTCCTTCTCGTGAATGCCTCTCCATCTTGGCCCTTGTTCGCTGTAGAATTAGCTGCCACCTTTCAGCCTCCCACGTCTCCATGCCAGCGGTGGTAGTAAATGGCTAAAACCTGGCCTGGGAAGTGGATCCCAAGCCCTTGTCCATGGTGCTGGGCCCCATTTCCCATGTGGAAAGGGGGTGAGGGCTCTTTCCCTCGCTGTACCAGCCTGTCTTTCCTGCCTGGAGTGGTAGAGTGAAATTCCAGGTCAGAGGACGATCTGAGCTTTAGAAGGCACCGTGCCATCTCCCCTGTGGCACCTCACAGATCCTCCACAAAGGCTTGCTGTGTTGCAGAACCAGAGGATCTAACAGCTTGAGATGGCATGTCGGAAGAGAGGAGGGGCTGGCAAGGAGGCCACACAGGTGTCACAGGGAGGCAGGGGAGCAGCAGTGACCTCAGATGCTAGGGATGGCTCTTTCCATCCAAGGGTTTGCTTTGTAGACTAAGAGGGAGGACAGAGAGTAGGTGAGAGTAGGTGAGGAGATGGTATACCCAGGTTGACCTCAGGGGTCCCCCTTGACAAATCATTACATTTCTTGCATGATTCTTTGAGCCACCCATGAATGGGGCAGACTGATGCTGAGGTCTGGAGGGGCGGGTGCCATGAGAATTCAGTAATGGTTCTTGATACTTCTCTTAAAAGCAGAACTAGGAAAGGCAATTGAACTCACAATTCGTGGATTCTGAGTTGTGTTCTCATATCCATGATCTAGCATGTGTGGTTCTTCCCAGGTGGCCAAGCTGCCCTTCGTGATCAACGATGGCAAATGGCACCACATCTGCATCACCTGGACCACCCGGGACGGGGTCTGGGAAGCCTACCAGGATGGCACCCAGGGTGGCAATGGAGAGAATCTGGCGCCCTACCACCCCATCAAGCCACAGGGTGTGCTGGTGCTGGGTCAGGAGCAGGTACTGGTGCCGGCCACGGTGGGGGAGGGAGAGATGGAGGGGCTGGGAGAGGAATCAGAGATGGCAGTGGTCTCCCCTGAGAAGTAACCCAGGGAGCGAGTTATGCAGCACTTTGGGCAAAAACTCTGATCTGGATGGGCTTATTCAGGAAACTTAAGCTGGAGTGAGCTTGGGTTTCAATTCTCTCAATAACTGCAGCTATACTTTTTTTTTTTTTTTTTTTTTTTTTTGGCATGGGAAGGCCAATTCTGCTCTTAGAGATGAATAATTTAGCTCCTGTGAAGTGGTTTGTCTCCCACTGGGCACCTGGGAGGGAGATGAAGGGATGGAGATTGTGGGCCTTGGTTCCTGTTGGACAGCTGCAGCTGGCAGCGAGTGGTGTCTGTAGGGGCCCCTAGACCCTGCTCCTCTGGTTGGCCATGGTGTCTGCTGGTCCCTTACTCACTGGCCAAGGGACTGGCTGCAGGAGGGGCAGAGTCCAGGTGCCCCAGGAGAAGATCCGCATCTCAAGCCATGGTGGTTGGCATTATACGTCTTCCTGGACTCCCTTGGGGGAGGGAAGGGTACAGCGCTAGAGGGGCAAAGACAGGGAGACAACATGGTACCCAGAAGTGGATGCAAGAACCCCTGATGGGGGAGGCGCAGAGACACCCATACTCCCTCCTATACTCCCTCCCCCAGCTGGGCTCCCAGATCACCCCAACGACCCCCTCCACCCTCATCCTCTGCTTTTTTCTGAAGGACACTCTGGGCGGTGGGTTTGATGCCACCCAAGCGTTTGTGGGCGAGCTAGCCCATTTCAACATCTGGGATCGCAAGCTGACCCCCGGAGAGGTGTACAACCTGGCCACCTGCAGCACCAAGGCCCTCTCTGGCAACGTCATTGCCTGGTCTGAGTCCCATATCGAGATCTTCGGCGGAGCCACCAAGTGGACATTCGAGGCCTGTCGCCAGATCAACTGAGAGCTGCAGGCCAAGGCGAGCCCCTGCCCGTGCCCGCCTCCCCTGCTTGTGCGGCGATGATGCGTCCGTCTCTTCTCTCCCCTTTCCCCAGGAATGAACCGAGGCCATCGCCCCTGCACACGCACACGCACACGCACACGCACACAGCCTGGTTTTGTCCTCCTCGTGCACAAGAAGCAGCCCCAGCTCCCATCTGCCCCTGAGGAAAGCCCACCTCTCTGTAGGAGTCCTGGACTCTCCCTTGGGCACGCCTTTTCACAGCTAAAGCAGGCGACTGCGACGTTTTGAACAGTGCAGAAGTAGGTGAGAGGATTTGTGTGTGCGCGTCTATGTGTGTGTCTGTGTGTGCGCGCGTGTGCGTGTGTGTGTGTGTGTGTGTGTGTGTGTGTGTGTGTGTGTGGCTGGGGGGAGGCTTTTTCTTTTAGAAGGAGGTTTCTCATTTCCTTCCTTCTCTGTGGCTTTGGGAAATCTCACGATGGGTGGAAAATCTGTGTCTGCCAACTTTGTGAGCTGCGTGCGTGCCTTGGGCTGGTGTACCTTCTTCAGCACACGCATCTGTCTTTGTTTGCGAGCCTTTTTTCAGAGCGACCTATCTCTCCATACAATCAATGTCTTTTAGTGGTTTGTTTAAGGGCGGGGGGGCGGAAACTCTCCACAGAGCATTTTTATTATATATTAGAAGCGAATTCTCTCTGAAGGTTGAAGGCTGACCATCCTGGCATGTTACCACATGCTCTCCTGTGGAAGGGAGAGGGCGGCTGAAGTGGGCCAGTTCTCTCCCCTTGCCCTCTGCCCTCCACCAGGGCCTGACCTACACTTCTCTTTGCAGCTGAGGGCAGCCCTGAGCTTGGGAAGCTGGCCTGCATGCCCAGGTCAGCTGTCTCTGCTCCTCAACCTTTCTGCCTCCTTGTATCCTTCAAGGCTGGGAGCTGTTCCTCCCTTTCAGCCTCCAGTGTTGTGCTGCTTGAGCCCAGGTGACCCTGAGAGAGGAGTGTGCCACCCATGACCTAGGAAGCCTCTCCCTGTTTGCTTCTGGTGGTGGGAGATCAGAGGCCTCAAGAGAGGACCTTTAGATAAGGAAACCCACATTCTGACCCAGCCACAGAGGGCCACTGAGACTTGAACCCAACCAGCGATGAGAAGGTCATCTCGGTGGGACTTTTGACAGCTATATTCCCCCAGCACGTCCAGGTCCGGATGATCTGGTTCAGACCCCTCCAAGGGGCAGGGACTGCGGAGACCTCTTACATTACAGGCCTGGCCAGGGTGGGGACCTGAAACCCAACTCCCCCATCTCCCAGGGCTCAAGGCCTGCCACCCCCAGCCTGTCACCAACTGGTGACACTGAGACCTGACTAGTGTCCACAGCCTTTGCCTTTTTTCTTCCCCATAAAAAGCATCACGGACATTTCTTTCTAGTCTTCCCAAGGAGGAGAGAAGTGTGTGTGTGTGTGTGTGTGTGTGTGTGTGTGTGTGTGTGTGTATGTACTGGGTGGGAGAGGAGAGACCACCCTGAAGGCTCATGACCAGGGTAGGGTGAGCTCCCTGCTTTGTTGTATCATCTGGTGGTCGCACGCCCTGAGGGCACCCTGGACTCTGTCTCCAGGAGTCTAATTAGCAAAAGGCTGACAAGTCTTTCTAGAAATTCTACTGCACTGCCTGGCTCATGTGCAGCTGCAGACATTTCTTCAGGAGGAGCAGGTGTTTTTGTCTTCTGTTCCTTCCAGGGCCACCTGTCCCCTTAAACGCAGGTCCCCATCGTGTCGAAAACCTAGTGCATCTGTGTGTGTCTGTGTCGGTGTCTCTGTGTCAGTGTTCTCGTGGGTGTCTGCACGGTACCCAGCCGCCGTTCTGCAATGCATCACTCTTGCAAAGAGGGTGCAGCTCAGGCGCGGTGCTGAGCGTTGTTGTTCAACAGTGGCTTTTTCTTCGATCATTGTGCTTCATCAGCGCCCGTCGGGTCGTGGCATCCTTGGGTCTGCAGGGATCTTCTCTGTTTGCATGTTCCTCGGGGTGGCATGTCCCTTGCTCCCTGGGCCCCATGTGTGTTCCCTTGCCTGCATGGACTGCTCCGGTTCTGTGTTGTGTGCTGAGTGCCACCCGGTGTTGTGACCACCCATGTAGCTACCGAAAACGACTGGGTAAGCAAGCCAAGGGTGTTGGAGGAGGTCAAGAGAGAGCTCAGTTTCCCTCTCCCCCTCCCCCTCCCCAAACGCACCAAGAAGCATTTCTAATGTGTAGGTTGGGAACAAGCCTGAACAGTCCCCTAGCTGGGAGCCAGCGAGAGAGCTTGAAATCACCTTCTAGACCAGATCTAGCCCCGCCCTCCCTCCAGCCATCTTGCAGCCGCTGTGCAGGCGAGGCCCGGGGCGGGTTGTGCTGGGTGCCCCTGCCAGCCCCGCCCACACCTATCTACTGGACACAGGCCACCTTCTGCCCCCCTGGGCCAGGTGGGAGCTGTCCGTTCAGGACCACGAGCCATCCTCTGCCCTGTCTCGAGGGGCAGAGCACACCCCAGTGCTTATGCCTCTGTCCCTGCAGCCTCCCATCTTCGCCTCTCCACTGACCCACCCACGGTGCCAGGGCCCACGCAGGCCTTTCGCTCCCTCCCACCCCTCACTGGGGTCTGAGCCAAGCCCCTCGACTCCGACACTGTGTTGACACTTGGCACTTTGCTGGCCCCAAGAAAGGTCAATGACACAGCCGCAAATCTAATCCACATAGTTCCCATCTACTCCTAAATCTGATTGATGTTCCCTCTTGCACTGAATAATACATGCCTCTCTCAGGTAAGCCATTTTATAAAACAAGAAGATAAAAAGCACTGTGGAGACAGTGTTTGCTTTTGCTGAGCTGGTGTCCGACAGCTCTCTGGGTGTCCGAGCTGGGAGAGCTGCTGACTGAGGCTCTCCGGGCCCTCAGGGGCTCCGATCCCACTTGAATCGTAAGCCTTCTTGCTTTTGATAACACAGTATTATTTCTCTTACTGTAGAAGAAAAAGTTTATTACCAAACAAGAGTATTTTTATGAAAGAAAAGGACAAACCTATAAATTAACTCAACCTATATCTCCCTTGAAAATACTTTCAGGCTCCACCAAAACGTAGGACTGAAAGCATGTATTTTGGAAGAAAGAGATACATTTTGTATGCTTTCTTTTCCTTTTGTAGATTCCCAGTTTATTTTCTAAGACTGCAAAGATCACTTTGTCACCAGCCCTGGGACCTGAGACCAAGGGGGTGTCTTGTGGGCAGTGAGGGGTGAGGAGAGGCTGGCCTGAGGTTCACAGTCATTCCGATGAGCTTTAAAGAGGGGACCACCTGTTCTCCAAAGCGTGTTGGGGAGCGGGAAGTGAAACTGGCCATTTATGGCAGACCCTTTGTGTTGGAGCTGACTTAGTAAGTGGAACCAGTTGAGAATTTGAATATCAGTTCCATCTTCGATAAAAGAAACTTGGGTTACATATTTTTAACATTAAGAGGATAGAATCCTTTGGAATCTTATGGCAACCAAAATGTGGCTTGAGAAGTCGTGGTTTCATCTCTTAAACACAATGTGTAAATTTCTTCAACTAACAATGGGAAATGTATCGCTTTCTGTGCACAGTGGACTTATGTGCAATTTGTTGAAGGGGAACAAGTCATTGAGGAGAAAAAAAGCCCAATACTTAGAGTCCCAATTTTGTCTTATTTGCCAAAAAAAAAAAAAAAAAAGCAAACCCCCTAAGGTTGATATTGTTATAATGTATATACTGTATAATATGAAAGAGAATCGATGTATCTTACTTTTTCATTATTTGCTAACCAAAGCTGTACATTTTTCATATGATCTGCAGCCTTTTGGGTATCAAATGGGTCAAAATCATGGGACCTGCCACCTCCCATCAGCAATTCTGGAAATGCACTATTTCTACTGGTATTCTTGCTTTTTTTTTTTCTTTTCTTTTTCTTGCTGAAATGACATGAATTGTTGAGTTTATTTTTACACAGTAAAGAGTGAAGAAAGACTGTGGCCTCCTTGGAATGTCTCTTCTTTTCGGAAGCTTGCCAATGCCATCTCAACCTGCCCAACCACACCTGGCTCACTCTTCTTCCCCTGCTGGGCCCAGGTGACCCTCACCTGCAAAGGACATGTGCTCTGAGTTTGCATTGCACTGTGACTCTCAACAACCCCACAACTGTCTGGTGACACTGGGACATTGGGTAGAGGGTTCCCATTTCACAGGGGCGGCTGACATTGAGGCAGAGAGAGGCCATGCTGGGCCATGGTGCAGAGCGACTCCCTCTTCCTCCCTTCCCCACAGCCCCGCCCCCTCTGAGACAGATGCATGGTCCACAGCTGGGCACAGGTCTCAATGGTCTGGGCTTGTTATTCCTAAACAATCCTGGCTGTTCTTTGCCATATCCTGCCAATGGGTTCTAAGCCGATGTCTGGATGCTATTCCTCTTCTGGAGTCCCTGGGCCCCTTCCCTGCACTGGGGTCTGAGGGGGACCCCTATCCAGATAACTAAGGGGGTGGACGACCACAGGAACCCTGAGCCTTGAAAAGAATTCACTTCCCTGTCTCCTTGTGGACCCAGCTTAACTTTGGATGTATATAGACTTTGCAAGCTGTTCCCCTCCAAGGGACAACATGACCAGGATCCAAGTGCCCTGGTATGAATGATCCCTTGAACAAGTCACATAGCCTCTCTGGGCCTCAAGCCCCATCTGAAAAATGGTGGGGAGTCACTGAACCAGATGGCTCTCGAGGTTTCACTCATGACCTGAAGTCAGGGGACATGGAGCTAAAATAGCCCACCTGGTGGCTTGGTTGGCACTACCCCCCACCTCACACACTGGGTTAGCAGAAAGGACTGGTCACTCTGGTGTCTTGTTGGCTTTGCCCGGGGTTTCCAGCCCAACGTGCTGGTGTTCCCTGACTGGAACTCTAGAGCTGGGCATTGGTGGGGGTGTGAGTGAGCCACTCACTGCCCAGGGCGGTGTGGATGGTGTGGAGGCAAGTTTGGCCTTAGCAAGGTCAGCAGGTCACCCCCCTGTTGCCCTGCAAGAGATGCTGGAGGCCACTGGCCTGTTTTCTCCACAGCTGTCCTGGGGGCAGTGCTTCCCCCACAGGTACACATTCATGCCTGGGCCCAGGGTTGGGCCTGACAATAGCGGCTCCAGCCGCCACTATCTTGTGCCTCCCACTCAAGACTGTGCAGTTATGTCTATAATATCACATTTACACCTCTAATTTCTAAGTAGGAGCTCATTCAAAACACTTGGATGTTTTAACTATTATTAGAAACAAATTACTTTTCATACTCCTTACACCTGATCCTGGCTCATCAATGGATGACTTCAGGGGGCCGTGGAGCTAAGAGCAGCAGCTCAGAAGGAAGATACCAGGCCTTGGACCTGAGTAGGTCTTAGCTGGGAGTCTGGACAGAGGGACAAAGACTTAGGATTTCAAAGCCTGCAGGTGTCTTGGAAGTCACTGACCACAGCAGTCTGCTGGATGCCTGAAACTGTTCTTGGTTTGCGTGCTTCTGGTGATAAGGAACTCATTACCCCAGAGAGAGGGCCTGTCCATTTTCAGAGAGCTCTGTCAGCAAATTTTCTGTTATATTCTTCCATATTGTGCTCAATTCCTTGCATGGAGCTGCAAGTTCCCCTCATCTGTCTATACACATGAAGACAGTCACCATGTCCCCCTGAGTTTTCACGATCCCTGCCCCCGCTTAGCCAACCTCGTCCAAGAGCACTGGGCAAGGGACAACCTGTCTGACATGACTACTCCTAGCTCTGTCCTCAGGGAGAGAAGACACTACATCTGAGATCTAGAGGAGGTCTGGGCTGGAAGAGCCTTGAGAGGCATCTAGTGCAGTGACTCCCCCCACTTTTCAGATGAAGGGCTTGAGGCCCCAGAGAGGCTGTGCGGCTTGTTCAAAGCTGCACAGCTTGAGACTGCCAAGGCTGGAATCTGAATCCAGGATTTCTGACTCCCAGCTCAGTGCTCTTACCTGGTTTGGTGAAACAATGGCGTCCTTACCTGCAACACGGGCTGGTAGTACCTTGCAGGGCTGGGAAATAGGATGAGGAAGTGTACGCACAGGGACCAGCATGAACAGGTACAAGTGGCAGTGGTCCCCTCCCCTTTCTTCTTACTTTTTTTTTTTTTTTTTTTGAGTTGGAGTCTCACTCGGTCGCCCAGACTGGAGTGCAGTGGCCACTCCCGGCCACCGCAGCCTCGACCTGCTGGGCTCTGGTGATCCTTCCACTTCAGCCTTCCGAGTAGCCGGAATTACAGGCATGCGCTACCACGCCCGGCTGATTTTTTGATTTATTGTAGAGATGAGGTCTCGCTGCCCAGGCGGGTCTCGAACCCGCGGGCTCAGGCAATCCACTCACCTCAGCCTCCCAAAGGCGCGGGATTACAGGCTGAGCCACTGAGCCTGGCTGCCTGGCTCATTTTTAAATTTTTTATAGAGATGAGGTTTTACCATGTTGCCCAAGCTGGTCTTGAACTCCTGGGTTCAGGCAATCTTCTGGCCTTGACCTTCCAAAGTGCTGTGATTACAGGCATGAGCCACCATGTCTGGCTTCCCCTCCACTTTCTACCATACCAAGACCCCTCCTTCGGGTTCCTCTTGTGAGGGTGTCAGCACTGGGAGGGCTGGACACTGTCCCTCACTGCCCACATGGACATTCCCTCCCAGGATGCCAAAGACACAAGAGGAGCTGCTAGATATTGCCCACATTTAGGGCGTTTTCCTGAGGCTGGGACATGGGACACCCTGGCTGTAGCCCCTGGGCTCCAGTGTCTGCTGGACAATCTGGTCCATGTCAGGCAGCTCAGACAGCCTCAGAGGCCCCTTCTCCGCTCCCAGCCAATTCCTGAAGGCTGCTTCCCCCAGTCCCACGCAGGACCACAGGGACCTGTCTTCGGGTCTCTCCTTCACCACCTGCTGACCCGCTCCAGGACTTGTCAAATTTCTCACCAAGTCCCCCTCAGGGGCAGCAGAGGAGGCAAGACCAAGCCCTGGGGCGTCTGGGGATGTGGCCTGAAGTAGCCCAAAACAAGAGCTCTTGGAAGCCCTGCATTTTATCTTCTGCTGTCCTGAGCATTTGCCTCCTCCTCTGCGTCAGATCCGTCCTCTGTCCCCGTCCTTTCTGGTGCTCCAGGAAGCAGGGCGTGTGGATGGCCCATGGGCAGGAGCAGCCCAGTTGAAGGAGTCCTGGTCTGCTCTCTACCTGTGTCCACGGCCTTTAAGGGGGCCAGGGTGTAGGCTGGTCCCCAGAAAGCCCCTCTCTCGTTGGCCTTTGAGGAGTTAACTGCTCACACACCCATGCCTCGTGCACAGGTAAGTCCCTGTAGCCTCAGCTTTCTGAGACACCCACCCCATGGCATATCTCTTCTCTCCTGGATGGCCAAGGTCTAGGCCAGCCTGGTTTGCTCCCTGGAAATGCCTCAAACTTCCTCTGAACTCATTGGTTGTATTGGATGTTCAAATAAATGTTTCTAACAGTTTAATTCTTAAAACCTGAAAATCATTTTGTCTCTTGGTTCCTCCAGAAAGGACACTTACATTTTCCAAGACTGAGTTGGTTACTTGGAAGGTGGGCTGTGATCTTCTGGGCCTCAGTCTCCCCTTACCCACAGGGTTAGAACAGATGGTCTCTGTGGCCTCTTTGAGCTCTCCCTGGGACCTAAGGCCTGGCCTCCTCAACCAGTAAGAACAAATTGTGTCCCTCTTCAGAAGCCACCTCACCCTCCCTACTCCCAGGCCCCCCAACCTGCTGACAGGAACTCTGGCCCCTGTCACATGCCCTTGCCCGGCCATGAAATCTACCTCCTCCAGACTTTTTCATAATGGTGACTGTCTCCTTTGGGTCTCTGTTGTCTTTCTTCAAACTCTCAGGCCAGACCCCTGCCCTTCTGAGCACAGGTGAGTTACTATGTCCGAATGCCAGTGCTGGGCCAGGTCAGGCTTTCTCCCCAGAAGTTTCCCAGCTACCTTGTAAATGCGGGTGCGGACAGGTGCTCAGGGCAGGGTTGCCATGTCGGTCAGGAGCTGAGCCCACTACCATGATCCCTTCAGCGTTCTCCCTGTTGGTCAGAGTGGAGTGGACAGACTGAGAAGAGGGGGCGCAGGAGATGGAGGGTCACAGCCCGGGTCTTGGAGGCTCACGCGATCATCTTCTCATCTGGGAAAAATCTCTGAGCATCCATCCAGTCGGTGGGCTATGGACAGAAGAGAGGGTCCTTGGGGGTCTGGCTGGGGCACCTGGGCCAGCTCAGGCTCATAGAATCAATGAGGGCGAGAGGCAGGGGAGGTGGTGGGTGCGGCGGTGCAAGCTCACTTGCTTGCATGCCTGTAAGACTTTGCCAAGGAAGCCGTCTGTCCCCTGTTTGATTTCTGTGCTTCCCGATTCAGGCCAAGGTGGGGGGCCATCTGCTGAAGTGGGCACAGAAAAAACATTTTCACTGTGCAGAAAATTGGCTTCCGAGGGGAGGCTGTGCTAGGCACAGAACCAGCCCAGAGCCACGCAGGCAGACGCAGCAGGAGCGCTGGGGGTTGGGATACAGGAAGCAGTGCCCCTCCCTCACCTCCCTCCACTCCCCACCCCACCCTTGCTAGGCTCATCAGGCCACCTAGCAACTCCCAGAATCAAGCCCCTTCTTAGGGGCCCTCTTGTAGGGGCTGCATGTGGAGCTGTGGCCCCCTCTTTCTTTTAATCACTTTTAATGAGATATAATTTACAAATCATACAATCTACCCAGGTAAAGTGTACAATTCAGTGGCTTTGGTATAGTACAGTATTCTTTTTTTAAATTTTTTTGAGTTGGAGTCTCCGTCTGTCGCCCAGGCCGGAGTGCAGTGGCATGCTCTTGACCACCCCAGCATCAACCTGCTGGGCTCCGACGATCCTTCTGCCTCAGCCTTCCAAGTAGCCAGAACTACAGGCGCATGCTACCATGCCCAGGTAATTTTTTATTTTATTGTAGAGACGAGATCTCGCCAAGT